TGTGTGTGTGTGTGTGTGTGTGTGTGTGTGTGTGTGTGTGTGTGTGTGCGCGCGCAGTCCCGGAGCCCAGGATCTGGGAGGAGGAGTACGATCTGAACGCGGTGCGCCTGTGCTTCCAAGTGTCCATCACGCTGCCCAGCGGAGAGCTGTTCCCTCTGGAGCACGTCGTGTCTCAGCCCATCTATGATAACCGTGAGTGTCTCGCCGCCGCTCTGACCGCTGACCGCGAACACACCGAGCCTGACCGCTCTGACCGCTCTCTCTCTCTCCTCAGGAGCTCAGCCGAGCTCCGAGCTCAAGATCTGCCGCGTCAACAGAAACTCCGGCAGCTGCCGCGGAGGAGACGAGATCTTCCTGCTGTGCGACAAAGTGCAGAAAGGTGTGTGCGCTTGTTCATATTTTGAATTAGTATTTATTTATTTATGTGGGTCAAAGACGTTAAGATGTCCGCATCGAAAGAAATTAACAAAAGTGATTATATGTCCATAGAAAGCAGATTAAATGTAAGTAAAGTGTCTACTTTGAAGGTTCCAAATAAGTTTTTGAAGAATAAAATGTCAAATTTTGGTTGAAATAATGTTACATTGTCATTCAGTGTAACACAGTATTTATGTAAAAATTCAAACAACATGTTTATTCTGACCTGTACATATTAAAACATATAAAAGAATAAGAGAGCATATTAAATTTGATTGTGTTTTAAATGAGTAAAAATTCTTACTGACAAATGGGCAAAACCTAGGATAGTGGCAAATGTAAAAAATGTTAAAATTACAAATAATTAGTATTTGGGGTGAAAGTAATTAGTCTTTTAATGTGTCATAAATTGATTTTTGTTGTAAATATGCCTGACAAGATTGTTATACTGAATGACATTTTACTGGGTCTCTTCTGTAAATCAGGGGAAAATGTGTGATATTTATTTTTTGCTCAGAAAAACTAAATTGCAGTTAAATTAAACAGAAAACTTTTTAATTTTGGGGGGGAAAAACAACAACAATTTAAAGCAGTATTACACTTACTGTTTTTAAGCTTAAACCCTTTTTTGTCTTTGACCCATTTATTAACCAGCGTCATCTTGCTATTATAATGATTTTATTTTATTAAATGTGTATTATATTTGTCAAATATTTGATTAATATTTTGAATTAGTATTTATTGATTTAAGTTTTAGGATTTTGTTGTGTGTTTTGGTCACTTATTATTAGTTAGTTGCTTTTGTAATGTCTATAGTGTCAATTTTAGTTATTTGAGGTACTTCAAGTTCAAATTGGAAATGTTCAAGTAGCTAAATAATAATAATACGTGTTTTTTAAATGTGTTTTGTATTATTGCAGTTGAAGCATGTCTACTTGCTTTCCTGTAAAATATCTAAGCTTCATATTAAAACGAGTTCAATTTACTGGAGAATCTGAGTTATGTAAATAGTAAATATAAAGAGTGAATTAAGTTTATTTTCCTCTTTTGTCAGTGTATTCATCAAATAAGGAAAATCTATTTAATTCAAGATATTTTCTCTGAAAAAATTGCATCTGGAGTAAATAGATTTTATTTTAAGGTTTTTAATTTTTTTTTATGGAAGCCCGTATCCGCCACTGAATAAAGAAATAAAAAAGATCATTGTGACTTTTTATTGTGGTTTACGGTGAATTTATAACAGCTAAGGGGTGCTGTTAACCCCCTAAAACCCCCTTAGCTGTTATAAATTCACTGTAAACCACGGCTTCACGGGGGTTATTGCTTTTATAAAACGGTTATTATACGTAGTAAGTTTTCACAAAATAAAACGGAGCAAATAAAGTGTAATGATATGAATAAAAACAGTATTCTTCCACCAAACAATGTAGCTCCTCAGAAACAGTTGTGGTTGCTACAAAGTGGTTGCCGAGCAACACACAAACGTAAACAAAGGTGTATGTTACTTTGTAGAGTAATTTACAACAGCTTCGAACGCGGCTCAGCCAATCAGAATCAAGCACCGGAACTATCTGTTTATAGTATTATTTTAGTTTTATTTCGGTGCGTCAAGGTGAACTAAATAAAAAGGAGAAATGTTGCTGTGGCAGCTAGCTGAAATAAAATCCGTTGATTGCTGTATTTTAAATAATTAAATGTTTAGTTCAGGATAATGATGTGCGTTCGCTGTCTGTGCTCTAGAGGACATCGAGGTGCGTTTCTTCCAGGACTCGTGGGAGAGCAAGGGCTCGTTCTCTCAGGCTGATGTTCACCGGCAGGTGGCTATCGTGTTGCGCACGCCTCCGTACCGCGACGCTAACCTGACGGAGCCGGTGCGTGTGAAGATGCAGCTGCGCAGGCCGTCTGACCGCGAGCTCAGCGAGCCGCTGGACTTCCAGTACCTGCCCGCAGACCCGGGTGAACATCACTGCTTACTAGCGTTTGTTCTGTTCTCACTCAGGATCCTTCACTTGCTCTCATGCTGCTGGTTTGTTCCTTCTGTTGCATGAGCAGATGAGCACAGGCTGATGGAGAAGCGCAAGAGAACAGAGGGCATGCTGCAGAACCTCAAACTGAGCAGCATCATCGCAGGTGTGTGTGTGTGAGTGTGTCTGTGTGAGTCTGTGTGTGTGTTTGAGTGTGTGTGAGTGTGTGTGAGTGTG